CATTCCCAGGCGGACAGTCAGAAACCACGGAGTACACCCAAAACTCATGAGATTTTTAGCATTGCTAGCTTTCACGTTGTTTGCTGTTGCCTTCTGCTTTCATATTGTTTCAGCTGCAAGGTTTCCAGCTTTTGGTAACTTTGAGAGACTGAGAAAACAAATACTCTCAATTAATTACATAAATTCAGGATTTGGGTAATTAGAAAAAAACATTAAATACTGACAATTGGCAGAGTGAGCTGATACCTACTGAGATCTTCAAGGACCTAATATCTATTTCAGGAATGTCACATGTAATATTAAATTAATTTGTTGCTGGATACTGAGCATGGTAAAAAGGGGGGGGAGCGAATATGTATTTCAACACATTTTAATGGAAAGCATTACCATCTTTTAATAAAAAAGTAAGTGAAAAATTTGCCAACAATTCTTGCTAATGCTTTTTACTCATTCATTCACTAACTGCATTTTTCTATGATAATTTATGCAAGATGCCTCAATCTAAAAATGAAATGCTAGTGGAAAAATGCTCACAATATTATTGGTCAGATTTTCAAAATCAGTTACTCTGAAAATAAATTTAAAGAAAGTGCTTTGTTAGTATTTAATTCAAGATTCTTTTAATACCCTAGAGTCTGCAGTTCAGGTATCTGCCAAGTAAGACTTCAGCAGTTTTCTTTGAGATCCCTGTACAGGGAATATCTGCATCAAGGTCTCTGATGGGTTCCTTTCTGTTGTGTTTTTAAGGTAACTTTTACAAATGCAGAACATGTTGAATTTTACACAACTCCTGCTGGTTCCTGGTCTCTGACACCTTTAACTATCTGGAGTATTTACATCTTAAAATATTCTTAAAAGGTGGAAGAGCAAATTTTATGGCCTTAATGGCTTGTTCATGAATTTCAAAGTGCTGTTATCAGGACTGATGCATGAGTCTGGGAAATGTCCTTTTTCCATCACCCAGGAAAAAGGGAAGGGCAATATGCACTGGATTCTTTAGGAAAAATGATAATGGAAGTGCTTATGCTGAGTTGATAAAGTTTCTTTGAAATGAGAAACAACTTCGTTCTCCTCAGTAGCATTACCATGGTGGGAACACTTCCCTTCTACCTCTAAGGTTTCTCAGAAAATCCCATTTTGTTCAGGCCCTGCTGACACTTGGAGAACACCCCTGACAGCGGGCAAAAGGATATGTGTCCAGGCCACCTTGTACAAGGGCTTGGGGTGCAGGTGTATGCATGTCTTCCTGTAGTTTGAGAGGATTTTATGAAATTGGTTGCATCACTTAGTCCCACATATCTGTCACTCACCTCATCTTCACTTTGCTCCTTTATAGCTGTTGTCCTGAACTCCTGAACCAGCCTTTTGCTGCCTACCTCAGTTGGCCTAAAGGTCAGCCCTTTGGTTCTCTAAGCAACAGTTGACACAAAAAGACCTACTTTATCTTACAGGTAATGATTTGGATATTATGCACTTGGTTTAAGGAATTTTGCAGGATGTTCTTTCCTCGTTTATCATTAATCTGCTCTCCTTACAGCTGAGGCCAGACTCTGATGTCTTAACTCTCATGTCTTGCCTTTGCTGGCTCTACAGGCTCTTCATGTCTTCGAATCTGGCCCTTCGTGTTTAGCTGCAAGCAAAAAGTAGCTGCACATCTGATAGTGACTGTCTTACTGTCTTACAGCCAGAGAGCAACCCTCCTGCAGCTGCCCTGCAAGCATTCATCTGACCCAGGCCAACACAGGCACCTCCTACATGGTATCTCTGCATGACTTGGACTTGCTATAGCTTGCCATGTTCTACATTTCAACTGAAGCAAGGGATACAGAAACCCTTATCTCTAGAAACGGGCTGTGTTTGACTTTTGGTGTGCACAGAGGAGACAGGTATTTTGAGTGCAGGCAACAGAGGACAACTGTGGTGTCAGAAGCTGAATGTTGAATGGTCAGCAGTGATCTTGTCACCTCCTGCAGATGCCTTCAGCTTTCAAAAAGGCACATGGTTTTCAAACAGAAAGCATGCAAAGCAATGTGCTGTTGACTGAAGCGAAAAACATACAGGAAAGTATAAAAATACACTCTTTAATGTCTTACCCATATTGCTGGGTCTCCAAGCATAACAGTGTGAATTTAACCTCCAGCAGCTTGGTGATGTTGGAAATGGTATTGATGTGTTACATACCCACAGAGAACCATGACACAGAAAAAGACGGGTTCAGAGGTTTTGACAGATGGCTAATGGCTCACAAATAGTGAGTGCATGGCAGAATGGAGCCCCACCCATGGAAGAAGGGAACATGTCCTAATTTGTGCTGAGAAGGACTTTCTACACTTGTGTTCCCTCCATAGGACAGCTGTAAGTGTCTATGGCTATTCAGATCCAAGCTTACATTCTGAACTCATGCTATAGGGGGTCACTAATGGACTTGTTTGGGCTTTCTTTGGCTTTGGGCAGGGAATTGAACCCCTCTAGATGTGGTACAAATGCAGGGGACTCTATGTCTTAGGCTGATGTCCCAGTAACACTGTTCTTCTTACTTTGGGCTGAAGTGAGGTGGGAAAACTAGGCTGGATTCTGCTGCCCAGTGGAAGGTCCTACCTATCTCATGCTCCAGGCCCTGCCTTGGCACAGCCAGGCTCATTAACCTGATACTAATTGAGTCCACCAGTAGGTTTTGCTGTGACTACTCACACTTCACTCTGAGCATGCTGTTGAGCACTTTTCTAGATTAAGACTTTTACTTCTCATCTAAGAACTGATTTAATTAACAACTATCACCCTTCTTGTATGTGTATTCCCAAGGGCACAGAGTAAAGGTTTTGTTTGAAAACAACCGAGAATACAGTTATCTTTAACAATGAAACAAAAATTTTTTTGAAAGGCAGGACGTTGTGATTTGGGGTGATGATCTATACACCCTTTTACAGCACCTTTCTTATTCTTTTGTGGTATGTGCCTGCTGCAGTGGGTTGTGTTCTCATGTTGCAAAGTGCAGGACACTTATTAGCAGAAACAAAAAGAATTAAGTCTCTGGTTTTAGGTATTAAGAGTTCTCCTTGTCCACATACGCTAAGAAGTGCAGCCATATCAAGGTAATCTCCTTATTGTTGTTGCTCTATGCATGTCAGCTCTTCCATGACTAATGTGTGCCATATTCTTATCATCCAAATCATCCAACATCAGATGGTTCCTTTTAGAGTGGGATGTGATTAATCATTGCTGGCACCGAGAGCTCAGAGATCAGCTTACGCTCCTTACTCCAAATGAGTTTGCAACCAGCACGCTGAGAATAAAGACTTCCTGAGAAGGACGAAAATAGCACTCATACATAATATGAAACACCAGATCTTGAGCCTGTGGAGATCCACCTGAGTCCAGAAGTAGGAGTGAGCTTTGCATGTCCCTGTGAATCCCAGAATTTGCCTTGGATTTGCAGGAGAACTAGTGCCAGAGTTGCCATGCTGCTATCTGCTTCCTTCAAGGAAGGGCTCAGGACTGGAGTGACTTGTCCATACATCACATGGAGATAAGGAAACCACAGAAGTAATTCACTGAGCTCCAGATACCACCTTCCCTCACCATGTGTTCCTGGATAAAACCATCATTAGGCAGACCCCTCTAAAATGACATTTGTCCCATACCTACCCAGTCAAACAGCAAAAATAGAAACCCATAGCCACCACAGACTCCTTGGTGACTAATCAGTCATCTCCCAGGGACCTGCACAGAGACTGCAGTGCCACTGCACTTGAAGAGCACTAAAGACAAAAGCTGAACACCACCCTTCCCAGCCCTACACAGCTATCACCCCTGGTACCTCTGTAGGCAACACAACTGCTGCTGCACCTGTGTGTATGCATTCCCTGGCACTGAGAGGTTTTACCTGCAAGTCACCTAGCATAGGGGTATTCACACCTCAGGTGACTCTCAGGCTGCTGCTGCCCTCTGCATCCTTTGTTCCCTCCTGTGCCTCTCCCTCTAGGGAGTTCTCACAACTTCATTGTCTCATCTCTTCTTCTTTTTTATATATCTGCATCTTCTCTAAGATTTTTTATAGAGAGTAAATCCTGTTTATCAGTTTTCTATTGGACAAAATGTCAGAACGGGTTAACTAAAGTGAAGGTTTTCTTCTTTACATATAGGACATTTGTTCTGAAGATGGGGTTTAAAGAGATGAAAAGTTTGATGAATTTAGATCAGGTAAATTAATTAAGAAATACTTTTGTTCTTGGAGAAAGTTTTCTTTCTGACATTCTGATGTCCTGGAGGAGACAAGATGAAGAACTTTTTGGTTTCATGTTTCAAACACAACTTTGTTTATTCTTTTCATCAGAATCTTTTTCTTCTTTTTTTTTTTAATCCAAGGGCTTGAAAATAAACACAAACAAAGGGATTAAATGCTCAGAAATGAAGTATTCTATTAGGGGTTAAATAAAATGTTTCAGGCTGAATCTCCTTATCTTTTACCTTTTGTTGCTTTTTTTTTTTTTTTTTTTACAAATTCTAAAATATATAAATACCTGTGTTTGCTTTTCCTAAGCTTGTTTTTCCCATCAAGCAGATATTGCCATTTTCTAGATCAGGATAGGGAATAGTCCATGCTTCGATCAGTGCTATATAAAATGTAATAGTACTGTACAGTGAGCTTCTGGTGTGTACTTCAGTTGTACTTTTGCTGGTAAGACTTTGTTTCCCACAGAAGTGATAATTAGTTGTGTTCCATTAAAAAAATTCCCAGTCATTCCCAGTAAAGTGTGGCCCACTGTTATACATCATTATATCACCACCATGTCTACTGAAAGATTTGTTCTGGATATCTTCTTTTTCTACTAATCTTAGACAAATGTTATGAGAAATATAAAGTACATTGGGGGGATAAGGGGTGATTCCTCAACAGCTTGAAGAAATCTATTGCTGTAAAAAACAATTTTCTCTGTGCTGCTAACATGGATAGTTTAACTCGACCTGACTTTCAACATCTTTTTCAGTGTCACTTTCCTTTGTAGTAGGATAAAATGTCTCTGTCCCTTTTCTTAGACAAATGATCTTCCTAGGTAGGCTCTTTTCAATGTAATTTTTACATCGCACTTCAGGTATGAAGTGCTCTTGAAGACTTTATTTGTCTGCTATCTTTAATTACAATCCCATATAGAATCCACAGTAATTTTTTATTAAATTATGGTGCTACCTGTTCTGCCTCTTTCAATTTTTCTTCACTCCTGTGCTGTAGTTTGCTTATCTCCACAATGGAGCCCTGTATGTCTGAAAATGAGGCCCTGTATGTCCATGGCTTTTCTTCCAAAGCCATTGTCACAGCAGCTCAGCAGACGATTCATGGCTGAGGCAGGGGTGACTAACCAAAATGCCAAAGGCAGTCCAGCCCCCTAAACTGTGTCCAATATGCCCAGGAAAGATCCTTACAGCTTTTGGGACTGTGGTACTCTGGCTGTACCTGCTATGCTGATGATCCCCTGCCTTGCCAAAGAGGTGCATTTGCTTCAGTATTTGTCTTTTTTTCCACATTCATGGTCATAGCTTTCATTTCCCAGTTGTGTCAGTATGTGTGGTCCAGGTGTGACTTGGCACTTTCACACCCATCTTCTTCGCTTCTTCCTTGTCTGCTGGGAGGTCCTGCTTCACACAGAGAAGTGACTCCTGGAGTAGTCAGCCAGCCACACTGCTGTATGAGGATAAGCATGGGACAAGTTAACTGCATCAGCTGCTGAGTCCCCCTCAGGCAGTGAGTGTCACAGTGAATTCTGAGTTGGGAATATCTGGACAGGGTTTGAGGAATTTATTAAGAAAACAATAGGATTGAACAATTGCACAGAGTCAGAAAACACCATGTGGGAGGTATGTATAGTCTGAGTTCAGCCCCTCCACATCCCTGTAATGCCTGACACCCTGTAATTACAGGCTCATAGACATGACTGTATTTAAATGTTTCACTTCAACCATAGATCCACAGAGACAGCATCTCATTTTGGTGTAGCAATCCTTAATTTCTTTGACCTAAGCCTACCAAATGTGTCTTTTGACTTTGGCTTTTGACACAATCCATTCTTCTTCTCCATTTCCCAAATAGTCTGTGGAGCCAGACTAATCGCCACTCATTAAGTGCCCATTGTGTTTCTATTTCCATGTCCCATGGTAACAGACACTTTTATTGTGATTATTCATCTGCTGTTCTTTCATTAATGAAACATTTAGATTTCACTGCCACAAGGCTTTTCAATAACCTTACATTGTAAATACACTTCCAAATGCAAAGCTATTCTTTGGTATGCCTAGCAGTGACACTTGAGAGTCTTTTCTAGCTTCTTGCTTGGCCAGTGACAGTAAGAAATGCCCACTGCAGGAACTGATGATCTCCATTCCCCCTTGATGGGGTAGTTCTCAGTTTACTGCAGCCTACATGCACCTGAGAAAGGAGACATAAGGGGAAACACCATCATTCGTTCTTAGCATGTCTCTTCCTCCCACCATGAGCTCTAGTATGAGGGTACTTGGAAAAAGCTTCCCACACCTTTGGGATCTAACTGATTCCCTCTGCTGGTATGTATTTGCGTTAGCTTGTACCAGATTGTGCATGTATTACCTGATGTCATTCAGATAGGTTTAGTACGTCAGATGAGGGGTATGTTTATTAAGGGAATGCCCCTACTGCTGCATAAGATCTGGGCTGTCATCACTGCCAGGTCCCAGCTGTGCCTCCAGGTGAGCTGGCCATCTTGTTCTGCCTGGAAGGCTGTGTGCAGATCAGCTGTCCAAGCTCTTTGGCTCAGTCTATTTTTCCCCTTAATTAAGACCAATCCTGTTATCTAGAAGCTGGAGAAAATTAAGACACGTTTAGCCTTGCATTGAATAAGTGTGTTTATGAACATTCTTGGTAGCATAAAAATGATTTTTCCAGGAAGACTGTCTCCTGGACTGCTTGCCCTCAAGGACTGTCTGTTTTTATATGTCTGGTTTGGAGGATAACTGAGTGATCTTTCCAGGCACAGAGACCACCATATAGACTGAGTTATGGACTATGCCTTTTGTCTTATTTTATTTGAGGTCTGTAGTGACAAAAGAAGAGAAAGAAAACCTATCATTGGCAATGCTCATTTTTATAGATCATATTCCTCAAAGCAAAAATCTGTCAGCGGGATGGTGAGGATGATGGCAATTTTTTAATAGGGTGGGAAGCTGTCCTTTGCTTAATCCTGTGAGAAGGAATCTGAGTCAGTCCTCCACTAAGTTCCTCACTGTCTCTTTGGCTCCTTCCATATTGGTCCTTCTTTCCCTCCTCTTTAACCCCTTAGACACGTGCTTTTTTCTGTTGCAGATTAAAAAATAGGTCTTATTCCCTTCAGAAATAAACTCCACATTTCTACTTGCCTCTGTAGTTACAATAGTGGAAAGTGGTGTTGGAGTTGTCTTGCAGGTCTGTCACTCACTGTCTACACATCCATAACACTGAAACCCTGGCAGTCTCCCTGCTGGCTGCCTCTCCTTTTTCAGGTTCAAGCTTTTCCTCACACATCTTTTTTATGCGTTCACTTACCATCTTGATCCATTTATTATTGCCTGTATCTCTGTAGTCGAGTCTATTTTTGCTTGGAAACCCAGGCTGTTTTCACTCACCCTGCACTGCCACCTCTGTAGCCTGTGTATGAGGTGCCTCAGCAAGGAGCCCTTCCCAGTTTGACCGTGCACCTCCAGAGCCCAGGACTTCTCAGAAAGGGGAGGATGGCTGTTTTCTGCTTGTAATACAGGAGCATTTCCAAGTCCCTGCTGCAGAGCAGGTCCCTCCAGACAAACATCTTCACAAGGTGGTGCCTGCCCAAAACCACGGATAATTGGAGTGTAAGGAAAAAGACCATGAGAGAAACAACAGGTTTGTGGCACACAAGAAAATAGTGAGGTAATACACAGGGAGTAAACTTATATAGCAAGATAATGAGGTTATAGTAACCTATAATGAAATTATTCCCCAGAGGCTTGTTTTTATAAGAACTCTAATGTGCACTCAAGGTTTTCATCATGCTGCTGCCAGCCCTGAGCCTCACTGCCACTGCCCTCTGTGTCTGAAGGACTGAAACAGGCCTGCCTATTGATCATGAGTTTGCAGAGGAGCAGACGGCATGAAAACGCTGAGCTTTGGACTAGGGGTGCGTTCAGTGTTTTCAGAGGAAGGTGAGAACAGCTCCTGGAGTGGCTGTGGCGAGAGCAGATTCAGCCTGCCTGACTGGAGTGATGGAGATGCCTTTCAGAATTCAATCTTTCAGCACAATTCTCACATTTTAGCCAGCTGACAGCCTGCTCTTTGCAAGGGCATCGGTGTAACTGTGTGAACACGGTCCTTTCAGATCCCGTCACTATTGTGCACTGCTCTGTAAACTCAATACACTGAGGTGGAAGTTCACACAGATCATCGTCTTTTATACATTTCATCACATGCATCATTCTCATTTTATAGCCAAGTCACCTGAATTTGACCTGAGTTGTCACAATAAGACAGATTCCGCAAGCTTTGAGGCGAATAGATTTGTTTTAGAAAACAAATCTACTATTTTCCCTAAGCCTTGAATTAGCTTGATTTATACACAGAAAAGGCACCTCTGGGACATTTTTGGGATAACTGACATGGGTCCACTATTGAACTATGAATAATATGCGGGGGATGAACTGTTCCAGGTCATGCAAGATCATTTAAAAAACAAAGAAGGCTGGGGGAGAGGGGGGGAAACAACATGAGAAAATCCTTGGTTATTTACAAGCGTTGACCACATGGACAGACTGGCATTGATATAGTGACAGTCTTAGAAATGCATTGCATGGAATTGCATGTCTTGTGTAAGTATGTTTATGTTAATTGTAAAAGGTTACTGCAGTCTAACCAGTTGTTCAATAGTGAAGAGATCAAACGTATCATCACATACCTTATCTACATAAGAATATTACCAATTTAGTTCAACTTGGTGTTGCATGACTGTTCTCATTTAATTTAAGAATATATTTCAATTTATTATCAACCTGCCTTGAACTCACATAAAATGAAACAGAAAAAGACCTGTCTCGGGAGATTGCTGAATTAACCACACACTTTCAGAGCAACTTGTCTCACAGGGTGCGGTTCCTGTGGCAGTCTTATAGACATCTTTATCCATCTGAAGAGGTCATCACAATCTGAATATCAGATGAATGCAGGGCACAAATCATTCCATCTTAATGAAGATGCATAAATAAAATCAGTTGAATTGTACTACATGGGCACCTCTCTTCCTGTTACACCTAAATGGAGCTAAAAATACGCTGAGATATTCCACCTGTTGTTCCCATTTAGGAGGAGAAATGGTAACTCAATAAAGACAGTTTCCTGAAGCGTTTTGATTTAATTGAAAAAGCATCATGTGACCTAAAAAGGTGTTTGTTGCTTTGGTTGTTTTCTGATCCATTTCCCCCCAGAAAGAATAAGGGATGAACTTGGGACTAAAATCTGACAGGGTGTTAAGCTGTCTTCGTGAGACATGTTAAGCTGCTCAGTTCCAAAATGTTTGTCATTCTGATTGGTTGGGTAGGAAAGCTTCAGGGTGCAGAGGCCAGGCATGGGGTTTGACAGCCATGTCTTGTAGCTAAGTCTAGCCTAACTGATCCAATATGCTGCAGTCCTGGAGAAGAATGTTTGGCAAAAGATAAGATGCTGGACTTGGTGGACTTGCCTGGTAGAGGGGTTCCTGTGGCTCCCATAGAACAGTGTGAACTCTGGTATAGAGCACAGCTGGTGAAACAATTAAAAAGTAGAGCCCATAGTGAAATAATTTTCCAGATTCAATAACTAGCTCTAATTAAGTACTGGGAGAGCTTTTCAAATTCCACAGGCTTCTGGGTGTTTAAATTTTTCTGACATCCTCCTATTATCTGAGATATTAAGGTAGTTAAAGCCTGAGAAAAATGTAAGCTATGTCTGCATATTTTGTGTGGTGCTACCAGTTAATCCCAAGGCTTTCTCCAGGAATCCAGTTCTTAGTCTGGGATTTAGAAAAATGACATTAATGTTCCTTTGCCTCCAACTCTACATCCATTATGTTTAAATTACAGTCTCTCTCAGCTTGACTGCTATAAGTTCCTGCTCTTGTGTCTCTTGGCACATGTTTCTCTCTCATCAGTCTGCAAAAATGCTGCCCACCTTGTCCTTCTCTCTTGTGCTCTCTACATCATCCCCACCTGAAGCCATTCCATGACCTTCCTTCCCACCTGCCTCCCATCCAACTCAGTCCTGGCTCCTTTGCAACCTTGCCAAGAATCATTCACCCATGCTTTTGGTCTGGGTCTCCACTTCAGATCCTCCTCTTTCTTGACCTCCTGCCCATCCCTGTGTTTTCCCGAGCTGTGAGATTTTGAAGGAGTCTGACTCCTTCAAGAATCAAGAACAGGGTCGTGCAGCACACGGCCCAGTCAATGAGGAGAATCAGGTCAGAGGCAAAGGCTGGGGTGCTCCTCATTCCTCAGGAGGTAATTGCATCTACCCCTTCTGCTGAACCCACCAGTGATCCAACTAGTGGCAACCCAAATATGTAGATTAACAGAAGACCTGAGACCCAGCATTCATACAGTATTTAGGGTCACAGCTGCAGGCGATTTTGGCAATGTTTAGAAGGATGAGACCCTGTAAAGGGTATAGGGAGCTGCACCTTTGGGCCCAGAAGCCAGTGTTGATTATGGGAGAAAACTGGCCTTCACCTGCAATTCCAGCAGAGCAGGTGCTGCAAATCTAAAGCTTTGATGTGGATGTCTTGGCACATAGGACATGTGATGGAGCTGAAGTGATGAACCCCTGTTTCACTGGAGCTCCTTTCCCTGCTCATAAGTGCAGCTTTGGAAAAAATGGTTTGGGGGCTGGGAGTACCTGCTCCTTGGGCTCTCACTTCATGGACACTCAGTTCTAGATTCCATCAGCTCCCTGGGTGAGAGCACCCAGAGAGACCAGCCAAATACGACACTGTGCATTTTGCTGGGTGAGATTAGCAGGAGAAAAGACTTTCAGTACCAAACTACTGAAAGGTCCAATACAGACAAGTGCACAAGGCAGGATCTTCCCCATCCAATGCCCATAGTTTCAGCCATCACATTTGATGGGTCAAGTGCTAGGTTGTAGATAAATTTTACTGTGGGTTTATTCTGCAGAGCATCCCGTAGCCCTGGCTTACTAACCTGTAGCCAGGAACTCACTTGGCCTGGGTGCTCTGAGCTCTTCTGCCTAAAACCCAGCCCACAGCGGCTAAATGGTGCACCCTGGTATATCCCTATGAGCTGGAAGTAAGCCCAAGTCCCTCCCAGGAGACACCTCCTTGTTAGTGTAGGCAGTAAATAGCAGAGGAAAACATGAAAGGGAAAGGTGAAATACAAGAAAGTGCAGCCAAGATGAACTTCAGTAATAAGCAGAAGACACAAGAGAAATGACCAGAATGAGAATATGCTCAGAAATGCTGCTAACAAAGAGGAAGAGAAAAAAGAAATATAATAGCAATGTTTAGGATTTTTTGTAGTATCAAGGGGGTGCTGAAGGAACCTGTTTACAGCAAAAGATTAGGAGCCAGAAATCCATAGTCTGTTTTAAACCTAGCATAGCTCAGCTGGCAAGGGACTAAGAAAGGAGAGGAATCTTTAAAGCTGACTGAAGTGGTGTAACTGGGAATCAGGAGATGAAGCTGAGCATCAGACTGCTCATGACTGATTAGATTCCCTTGAGTAACTGCTTGTATCAAAAGAAACAAACCTCTGAGGCTGAAGGGCTGAATCAACAGAAGTGGACATCCTCTTCTGACAAAGGCTGACAGACATCATCAAACAAGGGCCACGAGTGCCTTCGGCAGATCTTTGAGCCAACCTGCCCAGCAGATTGTCACATACTACCAAAATGTGGAAAACTTTAAAAACCTGTATCAGGCTTTCCTCCTTTAAAGGGCTCCCCAAGAGGAAAGGGGAAGTGTGTTTGCAGCCCGGAACTTCTGTCTGGTTGTCATAGCAATACACCATGCTGGTCTCTAACACTTTTCTAAAGCAATATGTAAAGTAAAAGGAATAATAGGGTTAGCTGGCTAGTTACATTGTTGAAACCTGAATGTGATTAGTAAATCAAACTCATTCTATTTCTGGGTTAAATTCTCAAGACTGGAAGTCCCTTTTCACAGCAGAGAGGTGACGCGCATCATTTCTAGAGCCTGGTAATTCTATATGTCTAGTTTGATGCCTGCTAGTAATATCTCCTGAAATTAGAGGGTCTTTCTGTGGTGGTCTCAGATTGCTTTCACTTCTGGTATATTCTTTGTTGCAAACCATGTTGCTTGACATAATTATATGAAAAGAACAAAATATTCAGTGTTTTATTACCATTTAATAAGGAGACATTTCTTTCTTTTTTCTTTTTTTCTTTCTTTTCTTTTTTACATCAAAGGCCAGAATTCAACTTGATTTAGCGATCCAAAGTGAATAAATATGAGTCCTCACAAGCTTAATTTAACACAGACTTCTGTTGCATACACACAGCATTTCTGACTATTTGGGGAAAAATGAAAAGCTAAAATGAAAACGGTTCTTAAGTGTTGTTTTATGTACTAAATATTGTTACTCAGGGAGTCACTGTGACCAGGCACATCAGAGTGATGAATGCACTATGCGCGATGTTTCCTGGTGTTTCCCTATTTCAAGATACGTCACGAACATGATTATTATCACTTTAGCCTATGACATCAGAGATGCAGTCCAAATATACTACTTCAGCTGCATTTTGACATGACATGCTTTTGAGGGAGACTCTCTGCCAAGGGAAAAATGTGCTGAAGGTTTCACAAGAGAATGCCATAATATTCATAAAGTATGTGGTCTTACAGAAGTTGCAGTGGCCTTCACAGTTTTAAAAGAAGTATCACTGCAAATAAGTATAAAACCACAAACACAGTGTTTGGGATTTAAAAACTTGTTTTGAACCCTTATTACTTGTACACAGTAGTATGTGAACTGCACTCCCTGATTCAATACCAGTACTGGCAGAGCTGGCTGCTGCAAGGTTTGGAGTCCTTGGGAACATTTGGGTGGCTGTCAAGCCATAACAGCAAGCTGTGACAGCCTCATGTGACAGCACCATGAGAGCCCGTTTCTGAAGTATCAAACCAGAGAAGGTAGGTTTAAAAAAATGTGCCAGAACTCTAGGAAACAGAATGGTGGTGGTCCCATATTGAACAAAAGCTGAAGAAGAAGGAATCAGGTACAGGACCCAAAGAGAACAAAAATGAAACAAAGCTGTCCAGCCAGAGCTGGAGGGGTGCCCAGAGATGTCACCTGTAGTCAGTAGCAGCAAATGGGACAGCACCTTGCCACATCTGTTAGTACAGCAAGAGTTGTACTCCAAGTCACCTTGAGTTCCACTTGTGGGCATCCCTTGGGTCATTCTGCCACCTATTGCATCACATTTGTGCTCAGCATCAGCCTGCGTCTTCTATCAACCTGCAGCACAGCCACAGGGATCCCAGCACAGCATTTATCATTGTGTTGACAGTACCAAGGCACACCACCTGATCTTCAGCTATGATGTACAGATTGTTTGAATCACTGAAGGAAGGTTTTCACCAGCTCTCTTAACAACAATGAGCAGAATTATGTATTTGTTTTAACAAACAGTCCTGCATGAAATGTAATAATTTCCAGTTCCTGTTTCTTGTCTATCTTGTTCTCAAGCAGCATTTGATAAAAATATTGCTCAAAGGAAGGATTTAATTATAAACTACCTTTTCATTGTCTTAGCTAGATGCATAAACCTGCATTTTATGCTCTGATGTTGATCAAATTTTTAGATGCTAGTCCAGATACTTTGATATTATTCCAAAGTAAATGGGTGGGTATTAAAGAAATTAGTTTTGGTCTATACTTACATAGATGAGAGCAAGATTTCAATTTAAATAATTGCATAGTTGATATAGTTGCAAAACTGCATAATCCAGAAGAAAAACATTTTTGATCAAACAAATATTTTATTTGACCCAGTATGAAACATTTCATTTTGCTTTTCATAAGACCTTTTAAAAAATATTTTGCAGGCCTTCAAAATGAATTTTTGAAAACAGAAAAAAAAGCTGTTTCATTTTAATAACATCAGAACAAAAAGCCTTGACTTTTCCAATATTTTCACCCTAATCTCCATTTCTGTTCAAAATTATTAATGTATTTTTATCCCAATTTTCAATCTAATCAGTTTAAAAATTGCACATTTTAGGAAATACATTATTATTCAGAAATATGCCATCTGGCCAAATCCAGGATTGATGTCTTTTTCGCTTCAGTGCCCCATTATTGTATTGGCATACCTTGCACCATGCAGTGGGCAGGAGGGAGAGATAAAGGAAGACTTTAAGAAATAGAGGATAATTTAATGTAAGTTTTTTTTCACAGTATCCCAGACAATATATCTAAATGTGTACTAAGTACAATATCCCTACCGACTATATAATAGAAAATTCAGTGGTGGGGCTTGATGGTTCTTTCACATCATAAATCTATATAGAAATTTAATTATTTTACCAAAAGTGGCAGAGCATAATACTGCAATTTTTAACAGAAATGGAAGGAGCTTCTGCCATACAGAAAGGATTTATCCCCTAGATTTAGCCTATACTATATACAGTGAAATATGGTGATATTAAAGGTGAGGTGTTTGCAGCTTGCAGCAGCAAGACTGATACTTCTGCAAAGGACCTTCCTTTACTGAACTGCATGAGTTAGCTGTTAATTCCACAAGAATGCAGTTCCCTTCAGTCAATATTAAATTAAAAGTAGGTCTCAAAAAACAGAATAGGGGTCTAAAGAACAGGTCTCCTACAAAATGGACAGATTTCCAAAATACTGGAAAGATCCCATAACCTTTTAATGTTAACTTCGTAGCACATGCTTTTTTAAATTCAGGCTCATCACTGTGAGACTCACAGATAGAAGCAGCACTGTAACATCAGACTTCTGTGTTTTGATAATCCTGACCTAGATTTCTATTGCAAACTTAAAACCTTTTTGCAGATGTTGCTGAGAGACATCATATCAGGGGAGGGGAACAGCAGAACGTTTTTGCACCATTGAAGGTTTGGAGGCTTTTTTGGGCCAGTGTGATGGTGACTGGAGCTAGATATTGCTGTTGACTGTTTAATAACAGAACAGCTTTCAACTTCTCTGAATACTTGGACCTTTCTGGAATAGAGAAAACAGCTCTGCTCAGAGAAACAGGGTACATGCTGATACTGACTCCCCATCTGTGGGATTGGATGCACATCCCATATTAATTAGCACTGGGGGGAAAATGCTGGGTGATGTTTATGGCCAGAGGCAGCAGCAAGTGTGTGTGCACAGCAGTATGCTGGGCCAGCAGCCTCACACAGTATTACAAGGCACTGCAGGTCCTCACTTCTGTAGAGAAAGCAAGAGAAAGTGTCCCTGATAGAGAAAGGAACAAGTTCACCTTGCTATATCATAGACCTTTAATCCATCAGGTTTCTGCACTGGGCATGGAAAGCTG